GTATTATACACTAATAATATATACCAATAATAAAGGTTTAACACATATTGTAATGTATAAAAATAAGTCAACTTTTTTTTTTTCAGTAAAATTTGGTCTACAAATTATTTGTATGTGAAAAGACAATATACCCATACAATAATTATACATTATTGATGGTTTACTACTAATCTATTTTTATTTTTCAAATTAAAAAAAAAATTATGAAATATAAATCTAAAAACAAGTGACGCCATTAAAATTGAAAAAAAATACTTTATTATTCGTTTGCTATTTAATCAAAAATTGAATCGATAAAATAATTGATTTCTCGTAGTAATTGATTTTCATAATATAATATAATTTACTATTTTGAGTTTTACCTATTTTAATTATTATGGTAATCAGTTAATAATATGATATTATTTTATACTTTGGTAATGTACCTACATTATACATATGTAGATAACATTTTGAAAAAAAATATGAATAGCGATCTCCTTCAAGATATACTAAATATATCTATTATCTATATCCGGCATATTCACTACTCACAATTAAAAGTATAGAAGTAAAGATCTATTTGGTAAAATTTAATTGAAAGCAATTTATTTTTGTTATCATAGACAGTGTCGTAGCCAGGATTTTTTTCGGGAGGGGGGAGGGCTACACCCCCCTCAGCCTCTCCCCTGGCTACGCCACTGTTCTATGATACATATTCAATTGTACCTAGTCAGCAGACAGTGGCCTTATATTTATTAGTACACACTTCTCAAATCCAAGGGTAATGTACACTCCTAATTTTGGACTATACATTTTGTGGTGGGGTTCACTAAAAAATAGGGGCTGATATATAGGTATAATTTATTATTTTGGACATAATTATTTAATAGTATGAAATGTTAAAATCAATTTATGTTAATTTAAATTAGTTCTTCTAAAAAATATTTTAACTCTGAAAAATATTTGTGCTTTAATAAAGGGGTTTAAATTAATAATTAATGGGTATTAAATAACTGTTATGCTTATAAATATCAATTTACAAAATATAGAGTCCTAGGTATGTAGTGAATCTTGAGGAATACCATACCTACATTCATAAAAAAACAAGCATTTTAATGATGTGTCGTGTATGATGTATTATTTCAAATCTTAGTGGACCAAATTCATTAGCATAAAATTACACAGAAAAATCTCTCTTGGAGTTTTATTGAGATTTGTTCAGTTAATGAACATTTAAAGGCCAATATTGTAGTAAGTTGACTAAATACAATCAAAAATAAACATTATGTGAGTTGAGATTTATTGATACTTAAAATATTATGATAGATGGTAGTGTCAATCCTTAACCATTTGATAAATTATTTACAATTATATTGACTGACTTGCCCATATAGTGTACATATGACTAGCTGCCAATTGTTCAGTCTATTAATAATATTCATGATACCTATTCTTGTCGTTAGTTTAATGCATATTTTTATTTGTATTTACGTATATGCAAACAAGTTTATTATTAATCTATTTTTTCCATACTTTTTTAGGCAATTGATGTTCATGTTTATTGATGATGTCATCATGTTCCCCACTGACCAGTATGGTCGCAGTTTTCCACATTTGAAGACTTGTGATATTGTGCATTTTCCTGCTTAAGCTCAAACATAAAACCTGATAGTACAATACTATAGTTCAAATAATATAATATTTATTCAGAGTAAGTGGTTTTAAAAGGTATTCTTAAATTAATGTCAAATTATTTTTATTTTATTTGATAAGATACCAATACCTCAATTTACAATAAGCTATAAATTACAACAAGAAAATATACTATTTTATAAATTTAGTTATAAATACATATGTAGGTAACTTTAATTACAAGATAATTATTTTTATCCTTGAAATTGTAATTTTTGTCAACCTAAGTTTTTAATACTACAAATAATTCTGCAGATGTTCAAATTAAAATACATTTTTCCCATAATTATATTTTAAAATGATGATAATTTTTTTTGTACAACATAGTATTATCTCAATTAACTTTAAATTATTATATAAGAATACAGAATATATTATATACAGCAGGAGTCGGCAGTGTTTTTGATGTCAACGGCCAAAAAATTAATATAACATTTTTCACTGGCCACAAATGAATTAACCTTATATTATTTTAAACAAAAATTTATATCAAATTTAGTTTATTTAAGTTCACGACTGTTAGGTTTATTAATTGAACAAGGCACCTATCTACAAATAAACAATGTTTTAATCCACAGTTTCCAGTCCATATACTATATTAGCTCATGATTTTTATACTATTATACATTTTACTTGCCGGCCACATACAGTTATAATGAAGGTCAGCAAACCATGGGTTGCCAACTCCTGATATATAGGATAATTAATAATATCATAAGTAGATACTTAAAATGTTTATACATGCAAGTACCTGTGTAATAATCATGTACCGTAAAATGGTTTAACTCCAGGCGGAATTTAGTATTTTTTTTTCAAATCACTTTTGTCAGTTGTATCAGTTTTGAATTATAAAAGTAGAGTTTTTTAATATAAATAGTTTACTTTATACAATAGTATGAATATAATTTGGAGGTAGGTGATATAAACCAATGTAGTTTTTTTGTTTGAAATATCTGATACTTACCTTTAATGTTTTTCAACAATGTTCTAATTTTATTAATATTCACTTTATCAGAAACATCCAATATAAATTTCAAAAACAGTTCTGTCTGAATTCACACAGTAAGTCACCCTATTTTACGGTATTTTGATAATATTGCTCCAAAAAAAGTATTAATCATACTGTTAACAATATCTGTGTTCATATCATTAAAATATTTTGTGATTTCTTACATACCTATATATTTTATACATAGTTACTACAAGTATCATAGGTGCAATTTCAGTTTTTGACTTGGAGAGTCTTTATTTACTTAAATGAAACAGACTAGTGGGAGGCTCTACTCTCCACACTCCCTATGTGGCCTATTCAAATACCTTTAAAATGTATTACTATATAATGCAGGACCTAATATAATTACCATAATTTATTTATCATTTTTTCTTCCTCACTTTTCTACATTTAATACAATATAATACATCTACTTATTATTAAAATGAAAAATATTTTTACTAAACAAATTGCAACATTTACATATATTATAATTTATAACTTTTCAATATCTACTATTGAAAACACATGAATAATGATAACTAATGGAGGATTTAATACTTCAATTAAAATACAATTTTTTCCAAATTGCGCCTATGATAAGTACAAATCAAATTAAATTTGTTTTAGTATTATAATAAGTACTATTAATATTATATTTATGTACATTTTATTTTGATAACTTATGTAGAATGTACCTACATATTTACTCAATATTCGTGTAGATAGGTACCTCGTTTGAAAATAAATCACAAAAATAATAAAAGAATATATCATAATATCAAATTAAATTAACAAGTAGATAATGAAATGTGTATAAAGTATTTATTTTTTATGTTGTATCACTAATTTCTAAAAAAAAAAACATGGAGGAAGCTGTCCAATTATGTGCAACCTATTGATAAATCGTTGGTTTAATATGCTAGCTAAACTTAACTGTTGACCTATACAATACCTAAAATATAACTTGTACCTATGCTCACTGTTTTGTAATAAGAATCCTTATAAGAAGAAGATATTAAATATTAATTATGAATTCATATGCATTTATGTTGGTAGTATGTTTCATGACTTATGATTAAAAGTAAATGTCGTCAATTACTGTGTGATAAGTACTTTTAAAAGGCTTGGTTTTAAAGGGTACTCTCTGTTAAACTATTTTTTAAACAATTTTCAACACATGTTTTTTATTTTTAATTGTATATTGAAATTTGTATCTTGGTTTGATTAACCGTTTTTGTTACTAATGCAGATTAATTTATAAATAAATACAATATAAAATATGTCCAAGGACATTAAAATAAATATTGGCTCAATTTTAAATTATTTTTCTATACTACATTTTATGTACCTACCTGTTGATGGCTGTTATTGATAATACCTACCAAATGACAATTGTAATTTTTCTAGAAATTAACTACCTCATAGGTCGCACATATTGGACCAATGTTGTTATTTAAAATAATATAATTATTTATAAAATATTAATTTTTGTCGATTAATTATTATTCACTGTAAATCCAATTTTACAAAATAATTGATAATCATTCCCTAATTAGTTATGGTTTATGTTATTCCAATAAATTGTACCTAACTTAAGTTAGTTAAATATTTAATTATGTAATACTTATTAATCAACTATTTTTTACTCGGTAAAAAGTCTATGGTCTAATATTTCATATTTATAAGCTTTCATCATTTGTTAAACATTAGATTTTTTTAGACCGCACACTAATAAATTATATCATTGATTATAAATATAATATTAAAAATGTCAATATAAAAAAATCAAAGATTACAATTATTATATACTTTTACTGTTGTTCATTTTTTATTGTTTTGTTATCTGAATCTACTAAACCTGTAATGTCAAATGGTACCAATCATAAGATAATTTGACTAATAACTATGATCAGTCTATATGTAGTCCGTCCAGCGAGAGTACGCAGCCGGGCGGTGACATAGGCGTGCGAAGACTTAGAGTATGCGACTGATAAAATGTGCCCCCCCCTACAGATGTAACGCCTCTAAAATTAATGCTCATGACATTGTGCCATAAACTTGTGGTTACTACTTTATATTAGAATAAATAGGTTTTTCATCTTTTTTTGATAAAAAGTATTTTTTTTTTACAAACATGTTTATTTAAATGAAAATTTACATTATGCATAATTGTTATAATTCAAGCCTTCTCTTCAATGAGTAGGATACCCAATTTGATTACAAACGCGCGGTTTAGATTTTTTCATCAATTTATAAGTGTCACTTCATGCCAAACTACGGCAAAATGAAAACAAATCGATCAGCTATTTGACTGTCTCTTCTATTATATTCTATTCTATCAACTACTCAACTATATTATATATTATGTTAATTATTATTAGTATTTAGCACGGTTAAAGATATACTTAGATATATTTAAGGTATATCTTAAATCGTGGTATTTACACATCGTTAAGGTAAATAATAGATGTTATGATAGAAATAGTCATCGTCAATTCTAGGAAAATATTAATTGTAAATACCTACCTACACTAAAAATAAAACCCATATTTCCTTAAATTATTGAGAACCGTCCAAAATGAATTTGAAAAAAAGTCCATACTCCATATCGATATCGCATTAACATTTTATAACCCAGTCAAAATTATGTGTTGAAACATTGTTCATGTGCCCCCAAGCGTCTGGCCGCAGGGTCTGTGGGCGGCGACCAAAACTCGTAAGTTGATGCCCATTCCCACCACTTCATCAGTTCAAGCGTAATCCGTCGTACGCTATCATCGTTAGCTCCGATGCAGACGCCAACGCCGCCATCGCTGTCGTAGTTGACGGCCGCGAGATGGCGTAGAAGTGCTCACCAACAGTTCGCGTGTACGCGTGGTGGGAGAATTTTAACCCCAAAATGGCGAAGCTGGTTCATTCACATGCGCGAACGAGTTGCGTATTTGACAGTTAAACCCTATCAAGTTCCGTGGAAGTTAAATACATTTACTACCCTAAGTGATCCAAATACTGAAGAACGGTAGCTCTAAACGACACTCGATACAGAATTATTATGTATCTATCTATTTGTAACGAACAATATTTTTATAATTTGCACTATATTTTATTTATACACACAATCACACGCATTATTATATATTTTCGTTTAGGGCTTACATCAAATTACCAGTATATCAGCTAAGGCTCCGTTGCTCTGAGAGATCATGAGTACCTTAAGATAGGTACTTTAGTACTGGTTTACATTATATAATTGTTTAGGCGGTTAGTACTACCGCTTTACATTTTTGTTTTACATTGAGAAAAACATTTTTTTTTCAACAATCTGGTAAAATTTGAAAAAAGACACGGTTACAGTAAATAGTAATTTATTGACACTTTTGACACTTCGCACAAATAATTTAATATAGAACTTGTTTGTAACTATGCTAATACAGTATACTAGAATAATTTATATTCACATTTTTTTAAAGCGTTTTTATTGAATAAAACGAATAAGCAGTTAAGTATAATACTATATTATTGATTAATTTGATCATTAAACAAAGTGACCTATTTAATAAGATTTAAGACAATTACAATTTTTTTAGTGGATAAAGTATTAATAATTTGTTTAGCTTAAAATTAATATACACAAAAAATAAACAGTACTGATGAGGTACGGCGGTGGTTGAGTGGTTCCTTTTATAATCTTAAACAATTACAAATGCATCAATAAAGAAGTGATATAAAGTTAACAATAAAAATATAAACAAACAAATTGAAAAATACAATTTGGTTTTGGAGAAATTATTTTTAAGATATTGAGCGTTATGTAACATATGTTTTGTGGTTTGATTTATCGACAGCAAATGATTATATTGTTCTGAGTAGGAAGATATTTAGATGTCCTTGAACACGGAGGTATGCCAACCGTATAATAATGTATCTAACGAGTGCCCAGCAGACCCAAATACAGGACACGGCTACTATATATTTTTGGTATAACGTGGCAAAATTTGGTGATTTAATTTTCGATAAATATGTCCCATAATAATTTATCTCATTGGTATTCAACAGAAATTAACATAATAATCTGATAGTAATTTGAAAAATAGCATTTAATTCATCTCAATGTTTAATTGGAAGTTGGGACTGATTTTAAATTTATATTGATGAACTTGAATTAGTTTTTAAAATTTTAATCTTGAGATCAATCTACAGTTGTACATTGTGAAATAATTGGAAAACATTTGATGGGTCGATGCAAAATATTTAAATAATTAATTAGGCATAGCTGTAATAGATTTATTGACATTTTTATTTATAGAGATATATAATGTTACTATCCAATCTTTTAGAATAAATTCAAAAATATGAAATCACAATTATTTATTTTTAATTAATATACCCACCTTGGTAATTATAATACAAGTTTTAAACATTTAAATACTTATATTTGGTTTATGGTTTTCGATAGACTTTAGTTCATATACATTTACATACAATGTTAAAATATTAGATTCACATAATAATATAGTTTATCAACAAAATTAAACAAATTTTAGTAAATAATACAAAATAAATCATGTACAATTATATACCTACCTAATACCTTACAAACCAAAGCAAAAAAAAAAATAATTAAAGAACGCTCTCACAAACTAATTTTTCAGTATTAAAATACATGAAAATATTATGCAATATTTGTTAAACAATATTATTTTGCTTAATATGTTTTTTTCAGAAAAGATACATTTATGAATGTATTATGTATATTTTACATAATACATATTGATTAAGCTTATAGTGATTTAATGCCTTATTCTTATAAATGTCTCAATTAGGCAAGTACTTAACTAAAATGTAATAATATTTTATTTGTAATAATGGATAATTATTTGTGGTTTAATACACAAATAGAAAACTGTTGTAGATGCAACCCCAATCTAAGTAAATCTCATACATATTTGAATGTTAGATTACAACTAAGGGTGGTATAGTACTAGGTATAGTACTTAATTACATTATTATTAATAGAGTAAATTAATATTGAGTTATATAATATTATTTTGTTACAATGTTTTTATGATTAATCTTGTATGAGTAGGATTTGGCACTTATTATACACTAAGAGTATTCAATCTAAGCATGCAAATATGCAATTAAATTTGGCAATAAAAATGTCTTGAAATATAATAAGAGAGCATATTTTCATAAAAAAATATGCTCTAATATGATATTAATAATATTTTTATACTTAAAAAAGCTTAAATGTTGAGGAAAATGCATTTTTGTAAAATATAACAAAGCATAATTATCTAAAATTTAAATACATTTAATTTAACCACTTCATAAAATAAATTTATCTTTCCTAAAAAATTTTATTGTCACTGCAGAAAAACATGCAAAATGCAAGGAGTCCCAATTCTTACTTCTGTGTTATAACAAGGGTTCAGTACTTATAACACTCATAATTATCAAAATAAGCGCTGAAAAAAAATACTTTATTATAAGCACTCAAAAAAGCACTTAAAAATATTAAAATAAGCAATTTTTATTTTTGTGAGTGGGGGAAAAATCAATTGGGCTTGGGAAATTCACCAAGCATGATCAACCCCATTTTTAATTTATAATATTTATTTAAATTCTAATTTTTAAATAGGAACTTAAGAATTATATTTTTGAATAAAAAGATTTTTATAAAATTTATTGGGAGTCATGTGTAATTTCAATTTTATTTTTCAAAACAATCACCTTTTTCCTTGTAAATTGTTAACAAATTACTTCTTTGAAAATATTGATCTCTGTCTACATTGAAATTCGAAAGAGTATAGTTTATGACTTTATGAGTTATTCCATTTTATGTAGATAATAAGTTCTAATTGCCTAGGAAAAAAGGTCCATGTTGATATGTTCGGAATATATAGTTACATAATGATTTCAAAATTATAGTACCCAATTACTTATACAATCCATAGGAATCTATTAACATTTTATAATTTGTAAAAACTGTCTAAATCTAATAAGTTCTAAATTAAATAGATAGGTAAATATTTTTAATTTAATTTTTGTAAAATCATTTTTTAGAACTATTAACTAATAAGTTATCTAAATAGTTATCTTAAGTACATATATACATTTTAATAACTACTTGTTAGAATTTTAAAGTAAATAGATACCTACATCCACATGTTTCAAAAAAATTATTTGCTTAACTAATTAAATTATTCTGCAGAACCGGTTGGTTCTCTTTTGAATAATATGTGTGTTCGTTACACCATGGAACACTCTTTAGGTTTTATAAAAAAATCTCAGCATTTGAAATCAAATTTTCAAATTCTTAAATTTAATATGATATAAATGCTTATTAAAAATCCCAAAAATCAGAATTTGAATGAATTTATTATTAGAAGGAATAATGGGAGTAGACACGACAAGCATGCTTGGTGAATCATCATGTGTATAGTCCATAGTCTTGTTAATACTTAATACTTTGAAAGACAAGAACAATTTAATATTTAAACATAGGTATACTTAAAATATACAAATATATTATCGATAGGTAAGTACTATTTAAATCTACATATACATACAATTAGAACACTTAAAATATTGCCAATTTATTTTTCGCTCATCCCGTTGACATATTGTTGGATATGAATAATGGAATTTTTGATACTTTTCATCGAATACAAATAGCTTTTTACAAGTTTTACAACGGCAAACAAAATCATAAGAGTTCCACATTGAACGAGGTATTTCTCGCCTCTTGAATTTTACATCATTTTTAATTAGGGACAAAACTGATAAATCCCATAATTTTGGCACATCTCGTATTCGAGCAAGTTCAACATTATCACTTAGTAAATCATAAAACGTATAAACTGGTAATCGAGGAAAATGAATATCAGAAGTTTTCATAGATGTCTTGGAGACTTTATCTACTAAATTATATGGGAGGTACGATAACAAGTTATAATGAATCTTTAGATGTGTGAGTTTTGGAAGTTCGCCGATGAAATGAGGTGCAAGAGTCTGAAAAAAAAATGTCATTAGTTATTTTTGGTAAAACTAAACCGATAGGTTACTATTATAATAGGTACCTATTCTATTTTTTCTCAAGTATATAATATTTGAATACTTGATAAGCCTTCATTAGGAATAAGTTAGGTTAGACATTTTAAGAGTATTAAATTAGCATTAAAAAATGTGTATGAATATTATATCTAACTAAGTATACACAATTCTAAACAGTACAAAACAGCTTTCTTTCAATCAATTTTTGTATTTTTGAAAAAATTTATTTTATATTATGTACCAACATAAAAATAAAAACATTTTAAAATTTAAATGTACAAGTAAATCATAGTTGGAATTTTTTTAAAATTTAATATATTAGATAATTATATAGTACAACCAAAATTTATAAAAAAAATTTTTAAAATTTTTTTCAATATTTCGAATAATTTTCACTTTACATTTTTAAGTAATACATAGTAATATTAAATACCTATTAAGTAAAATTGATATAATATTATATAGGAAGGTATTTATAAAAAAACAAAAGGTTTAACATGTTTACCTGCACAAATTATTTTATACACTATACCTACCAGTTGCGAGGCGTGAGGTTTTTGGTCGAGGAGACACTGAAAAAATAATAGCACTAATACGTCTTGACTCCCCTTTTTCTATTTTATCCACACAATAAGAAATAAATGTATCTTATGACACTTCACCACTGCACTATAAATATTATAGGTACTAGGACACCTAGACAGAGCCAGATTAAGGATCAGAGCCACATTTGATACCCTGTATCAAGGAGCTATTAAAACAACATATATTTCGTAATTACCGCATAATATACATGAGTGAAACAAGCCGCATTGGTGAAAAAACTATAAGTTCCTTTTGCAAATATCTTAATCTCAGTGTTGGTGAGTTGAGGCCAAATCAAGGAGGTACGATTTGAGGTCCGGCATAATGAGTGCCCTACCTATGGCCACATAACAATAATTATCATTAAGGGACACTGCGGGGAGTTTGAGCTAAATAAGTGTTTTTTAAGGTTCGGCGAGCTGTGCAGTGAATGGGGAGGATGTTGAGTATTTCGTACGCATCCTATAGTCCGTCTGCTATAAAAATAACATCATGTCAGTGGCGTAGGGGTGGATGATGGTGGTTAAGAGATTGTGCCCTCTCTGAAATTGTTTAGTAATAAAAATATTTTCATAAATACATTATTTTCAAAAACAATTTGTCAAAAATTAATTTTCAACTCTCCGCTCAAAAAAAATTCTGGATACGCCACTTCATCATGTTATCCAAAATAAAATAGTTTTATACAGTCCATATTGTTGAGCGTTTTAGTATAAATATTGAATAGTAGGAATAATTTGCGACTGTATAGTATAAAAGTCAGTATTATACATTTTAGTGAGTTTTAAGATTTAGATTTATCTAAGCTATATTAGCACTGAATGAAATCGAAATCTTTTTATTTGAGGACATTAGTTAAGACTTCAACTACAGCACTGTGGATCTCAAGTTGAAAAACTATAATACTTAATACTTCATTATGCGATCACTAACGCCAATGAATATTGAGTGGCGAATTACATGTTGAAATACACGACGTGTTCGTGGTAGTTCATCTGTTGCGTAAGTAGGTAGTAAAAAAAAGTTTATTAATGTACATATAATTTTTAAGGTCCTAAGGATTGTAAAAAATTCAGTGAAGTATTTGGGATAGCTTTTAAACGTCCCATTGGCAAACTGGGACACTCGGGCCTCGACTCACTTACATCTAACAAGTTATCGGGCCGTAATTCACCGGTCCAGAACTTCGTAAGAAATACGGCTGGCCGCAACTCACCCACATTCGTTAATCCTATAGATAGGTACACAATTTGCACTACTACAGTTATTTGAATCAAAATAATTACACCAAATTAAAATTTTATAATCAAAATTAAAATAAATATTAATAATAACCATTAATAATCAATCGTTTAAAGGTAATAATATAATATTATAGGAGCAAGGTATAGCATGGTGGTTGGTCGCAATCACTATAATGTGTGCTGAGGTTGGGCATCATACAGCGTCTCTAGCTTTCGGATAAGTGACCACCGGGGTTTTTAATGACAAATCCTTACCTTAAATACAATATACAAACGTGTTTTTAAAACTAATTGTAACCCCTCCTACAAAATACTAATGGCCATAGTTGCCTATGCTTCAATTCAATAAAAAAATTTAAATAAAATAAAACAATATTATAAAATATTAATAATAAAGCATGTCAATTTTTGAAGTGAAACTTCTTTACGAAGGGTATAAAAAAAGGCCTTAACGCTCGAACGAAACGCTCTGACGGTGTCTTATCCAAATTCCTGGTTTAAATACCTATACAAGTCACAAGGTTAGTTATACAAATAATAACGAAGAGGGGATCCCCTCTGCTCCCATAAAACTTTTAAAATTAGGATATTTAAATTTCACTATGATCCAGGTTAATAAATGGATAAAAAAGTCCAGCTCTCATATTTTATACTAAAAATTATCAAAATTGCAATGTGAAGTGAACGATAAATCAAACTTACCAATTCATTATAGGATACATCCAAAGATTGTAAACGTTTCAAATGTATGATTTCAAACGGCAATTTCTTTAAGCCAATATCATGCATATCCAATACAGTCAACGATGTACTTATATTGTGTTTGGTCATCCAATCCCAGAATAAATCTTGACTATTTTGCGACATATTAATTCTACTGAATTTCAGGCTAAGATTCGAGAGCGCTAAGTTTCCAAGCCCTTCTGGCAGATAAGGTATATTGCAGTCTTCCAAGGCAACCACTCTCAGGTGAGTTACGTCAAATTTTTGCATTCTGTTGTAATCATAAATATGCTTCATGGATCCGGGACCTTCAACAAAAAAGGATTTGCCGATTTTAATTTTCAGCTTTTCGGAGACAGACCTCAAATCCTTTAAGAAACTCTTCATCTGGTCATCATCGTCGGGAATGACAAGCACATCATGGTACGGTTTCACAAATTTCAGCACGATTTCTTCTTTGTTAAACTTTACGCTATCCAAGTCCCTAAGTAAGTACATTGATTTCGACTTATCCACGAACTTTTTTAAAAACACAAGGTAAGTGCCGACGACGTTCTTGATTTCTAATTTGGCATGATGTTTCATCGTCCCGAATTTGAGCCCAGAGTCCATGTCATTTACGAATATGAATGCCGAGAATGAAATCATCATTACTTTTGTTTTGTTATATGTAACTTATACGATGGTTGTGCGTCTATAACTTGCCTGTGTAAAAATTTCACGACGTTGGTGTGATAGATGGTCGTAGTCACGTGGTTTTCCACTATGCTCAAATCACTGTGTGGTTTACATGCAATTAATTGAAAACTTATGAATGAGCACTGCGATAGTGGGATAGTGTCATATACGAGTGTCAACGCACAAATTTCCGCTGAAACGAATTTAAAACTTAGTGTTGAAACGACTATACCCACTCACCGATAAAATTAGAAGTTACTGTTGTACAAATACTAATTTTTATTTAATATGTATACATAAGTATAATAACAAGATACGACGCCATTTATTGATTACATATAATCAATAAGTTGTAGATTGTTGCTAGATCAGTTGATTGTGGTAAACATCAATAACCACGGTTCAGTGTGTCGAACACATTTTAATTTTCGGCACAATTTTATATGCAAAAATCTAGAAAACACTTGTAGAGTTGGTAGCTATTCTATTATAATGAAAATAATTATTATTACAAAAATCAGCGACCGGTAATAATTATTAATACTGCTCGATTTCGTCGTAACATGAATGTGATGTATAGTACAATATTTGTGCACTAGAGCGCTCTACATAATAGTCGCATCATCAATGTGTGAAGTGGGACATTGATCCAAGGTTGCGTAATTTGTTGGGTGATAACCGTATGAGAATTATGAATCGTCACAGCAAGTCACATTATATTACAGAATATAACAGTAATTCAAAATATATGATCGTATGGCATAATAATTAATAAGTATAAAATATAATGATATCCACAGAGAAGAAGGACGTATCTTAATTGTACAATTTTTTTTTTCAATTTGGTATTACTGTTTTTCTGGATATCCGACGAAATTGGTTGTAACATAAATCAACCAAAGACGTTCTATTCAATAAGACACAGTTACTAACGTCTTCGCGGGAAGTACAAAAAGACAACAATACCGAAATGAAAAAAAAAGTTATAAAATTAAAAACGTTCTTTTTTGTCAGATGTGTCGATAATTTCTAACCGTTTGGTAATATTCAATATCAGCGTGGTGTGTACGTTGTTTTTGTGATTGTGTAATAATGTATTTCTAATATTCTTATGCTGTGACCGGTTGTGTTAATTACAAACAGCGGAACCTCGAAATATCGAAAACCTTGATAAGTTGAAAAAAATTTCGTTCCCTTGCGAAAACTACGATTACTCGAAAAAAAAAACTTTAGATAACTCGAACATTCTGTGCTCCGATTAAATAAACAATAAAGACGGATAGATCAATAATATATGATCTAAGAAAGACGGATAATGACGGATTATTGTTTGTGATAATTGATGATGTTCCGATAATTTGATAATTGATAAATTTATATTAGTAAATCCCAAATTTTAAGTCAAAGTAAGATAACAAGTTATCTATTATAAATTTGCAACACATGTTTTATTATATTTTTTAAAAATTTAACAACCTATATTATAACATTTTTTTACGTTGTGCAAAATAATTAAAAACTTAAATACATACCTACAATCCTACATATATTTTAAAAACAGTTTTAGTTGAATTTTTGTCCTAAAACCTTGGTAACTAAAAAACCTTAATAAGTCAAAAACTTCAATAAGTCGAAAAAATTGCATTTCAGTTGAATTCAGACTTGCCCCCTCCCATTAACCTTTAAACAAGTATGAATTTTAACGACCCCTATTTATGAGTTCTTTTTTTAAAAAGAACACTTGGTTGCTGTAAAGTTACCCCAGACCTTACTTCTAGACAATTTTTTTTAAAGTTTATATAGAGGTTTGGCAGTATAATGTATGTGTATTAATTGTAAAATAAATACAGGAACACCATTTTATTAAAAACAAATTTGACTTTTTAGGGGTTGAATATCCGAGTTGATTTAATTTCAATTTAGTTTTTGAAATGTATAAGCTTGAAAAGTCGAAAACGTATTTGAAGTAACAACAGTGCGCAATGGCCAGCACAAAGCTGACTCGTCAGTAAAATTGTCCAGCCCATGCTATCTATTTTAAAATTGGCTCTGTTGGTCATAAGAATCCTCTCTACCACCTTTTCTTCAGTCCCTACGTATCTGAGTATAAGATATGAACCCTTCTTTAATTCTTTGGTAAATATGGAAAATCCTTAGAGTAATCAATAAAGCCCATAATTGTATTTTAACCCTATAAATGACTAATAACTAATAAGTGTACTCATTGCAATAACTAATGGATGCAATTATTTATTTTGTTGAGATTCTATAATATAATAATAAAACTGGATTTATTTTTGTCAATTATTTGGGAGTACACTTTATCAGTGAGATTAGTGAATTTTATAATTTTTTATCCTTTTATTATTTTCTACTAGGAATCTTTTATTTACCTAACCTTCCGAAATTAAAATTCCTTTACTAATGGGTCCCGAATTATTTTAGGTTCTAACAACATTGTTATTCAATATCTGTCCCCCAACCCCCACAAAGCAGTGTCTACCGAGTCGATGTCGCAGTTAGCTGCGACCTAACGACACCGTTGCGCTTCGCTATCGTGACCGCCAGCGAGTGCCGATAGGGCAACCCGTTCCCCAAAATATAATAATTTACGACAGTTCACGACTCGACGACACTGACCTGCTCTCTCCAGCGACGGCCTATGACTAGACACTGCCGGCGTCGACTCTTTAACTTTTTCGACAACCGCAGACTGAACAACACGTTCATTAATCGGCACGTCTACCAGTTATGTAAAATATAACCATGTGATTACTCTAAAATTATTATTCCTATTATTTAAAATATCATTTCTTCTATCCTTTTCATAAATCTTTGGTTTTCAGAAAAAAAATGCATGTTCAAAGCCTATAAGTTCCACGGTACAGCTTATAGACCACGAGTCAAGTGCTCCCCTTGACTAGTGGGTGTAAGGAAGTTCCTAAAAAGACCGAAACCTCACAGTCTATATTATTTACATATTTAATCGTGTGTAATATATGTTATGGCAACAGTAGGTGCATTTGGTTAAAAGCAACTGATACATTTCTTAAATACCAAACAAAGCTGCTGAGAGAAACTGATCTTAACACTCCCTCTCCTGAAATCACGGGAAACATTGAAAAAATAGGTTTATTCCTACCAGAAGTTGCTTAAAGAAAATCGTTAATCATTAGAATCAATTGCAAAGTCTATTCATTCTTTGCAAGTTTTTACGAAAATGTTATGAAAAAAATTTGAAAATATTCACATACTTAACCATAAACAAAACTGTAAAAAGCATTTTAACACAGCATGTTCGACAAATTGTATTCTTTAGCCCATATAAGTATACCCTCTAAATTCATAACATTGAAGGTCTTGGAGCATAACAATTGTTATGAATTTGTATTACACCTCGTAAATATTGCTTGTTGGAGAACTAGGAGCAGGACGTCGTACCCAATCCATACGTGTTGTCCACGTCTTACACATAATATACGAAAACTTAAGTCCAGAAGTTCCAATTTTGTGTTGTCGGCTTAAATATTAGAGTGAATAATTGACCTATTATCAAACTTAAAAGTGACACAATTATCTATGTTCACTAAAAAAATAAAAATATCGTAAAAACCAACGAGAAACACAGATAATTGTCTTACATTTAAGTTGGACAATATTGCGGTCAATTCACTATAATATTTAAACTAACAACCCTAAATTGTAACTTTTGGTATATTATGTGTTAGTAAGACGGTGACAACACACGTGGGTACGACGTCCTCTTAACAAATTATTATTATTATATCTACTAAGTACCTAACCGAGTTACCTAACCGATATTTATATATTTTTTTATATTTAAATTATTGTATTAATATTACATTATGAATAATATTTTAATAGATGAGTATACTAGTTGTCATAGAGATGAAATTAATATTTGATACGGTTCTTATTACTTATTTATCGTAATTTATAAGTACCTAGCTATTATGAAATGCATTTTAACGCTGAATGTCTGATGACATTAATTGTACTGCGTTTTCGTTTACTTGAATTTAGAGTACGAGTAGATTTTGTGTAATGTTTACAACGTAGTATACCTATATACCTTAAGTCAGCTTCAATTTATATTCCGAGAGTAGAACACTAAAACCATGGTGGTTTCTAAGTATGTTTGTCTTTACAACTAATAGATTAGATGTGCCGTTGTACTCCATTTCAGTTGAGATTCAACCCGAATCCCCGCATAATGTTATAGTTTGTGTAATGATAAGTTTTTGACAATACTATAAATTATAATATAACTATATATGTGTACAACAACAGTTCAGCTCATTGTTTTATAATTTATAATCGAGTATAAAATATAATATAGGTATATATTTACATAGGTAGTATTATTTATGATTGAATATCGAGAGTAATATTTTTTACTACAGATAGTAATTATATAGCCCGTTTTAGGTTTCTAAACACACTTTTAGAATACTCCTTATACCCCCGTTGTGTCGGTCCGTTAGTTATCGATATCTAGGTACATAATTATACGATGGTTGTTATGAATTTTTCAATTTTAGTATTAGTCTTCATAGGGTTCTAAAATTTTGTGAAATTAATTTTTTTGAAATATGTCATAAAACTTTTATGAAATATTTTATTGTGATGAAAAATAAATATCTAATTTTAATTTAAAACTATATTAGGAACGTGGAAGTGAAGTAAATACCGCTACTTAGTTAAATGTTACCTAGTGGAAAATGTTATAGAAATATTGCTTACATTGTGCATTGTATAAATTACATAATAATTATCTATCTTATATTATATATCTCCTCTACATCGTGCCCGGAAATTAAATATTAATAATCACTTATTAGGTATGAAATCAGTTTGGCTATCTAGTGATGATTTTATGAAACACCCTAATAAACTCGAAATTAAAAAAATATATTTCTCAATATTTCCATAAGGGTTAAATAACAAGTTTAAAATATTTCATACTCATAACCCTACAAATCCATAATTCAAAACAAGCATA